AGGCTCTTTCCCGAGAAGGAATTGAGAAAACAAGAGGGTCCTTCCTCAATCTTGTGACTCAGTGGGAGGGTCTTGCTGATGGTTTCATTCTACCCCATCTTCTTATGCAGTAAATAATCAAGTGTACCTTGCCAGTGAGTCTTGTTAAACCACTGTCACATTTACCCTTGACCTCAAAGTTTATTGTTGCCTCTGTCTCTTGTCAATGAAGTGCATGACTCCATCTGTGACACCTAGTTCTGCTAATGTTTCTCTCACTAAACCTGCCAGTGATTACAGATGCAGCTTGTAAATGAACAACTTGGATTAAAGTGCGTTGGTGGCAGTAAACTCCAGCCTTTGTATCGTCTACCAAAGGTTGTCTCTAGTGACAGAACTGAGTGGATGTATCACAGTGAAAGGATTGAAGTTCCATTACACTCTCAGTTCTGAATGCGTGAAACTGTGAGATTAAGACTCAATCTCGGCATGCTCAAGAGGGTGCTTTTTTGGTTGATTTTCAGCCTGAGAGCCAAGTGGAACAATAGAAGTACAAGCCTTTTTGCAGACAATAAAAAGCCACCAGCCAGCTCTCAACCCATTTTGAGCTCAGTGTCTTCAAAATGCTTTAATACTTACCATAGTTCTTGCACTTTAGTCATTTGAGTGGGGAAACAAAGATGCAGAAACTTATCTGCTCATGGTACTTGCTCAGTCCTAGAAAAGAAGAATCCTGACTTCACTTTTGAAAGTAATGATCAAAAGGAAAACAATGAGATTGGTTTCTTCACAGTAGTTGGCAGCAAAAAGAAGTCTAAAGAGCTTTGGGGTTTTTTAAGCTTATTTTACTTGTTTTGCATTAGAAAGTCAATTCCACTGTTCCTGGAAAACAAGTGAAATAATGTTTTGAAACATAATGGAGTGAAAGCAAAGAACTGATATTGAATCAAGCTGTTGCAAGCTATTTCTTTTAAATAGTGGAGTTCCATTTTACATCAGGCACTTTCAGAAGTGCTTATACTTGCACTGTGTGATTGTGTTTATTAAAACATGAATAGTATGTTGTTAAGGCAGTATTTCTGTGACCTCAGAGGAATGTTATAAAAACCAGCCCTAACCTTAAAACTTGATTTTAAATGATTGCCTCTGATTATCACCTTTCTTTTATAAAATGCAGCCTATATTATCCTTAACTCTAGATCAGCTTTTGTTTGAAATCTTTTGATATGTTACCTTTTCAAATTAAAACTCCATTAAAACCTGGACTTATTGACAACATCAGCATAATCCTGCATTACTTGCAAATGCACTGAGAAAATGAGTAGCCAGCACACTTCCAAATAACTCTAAAGTTAACAAATTACCTGTCAAAGCTGTGGCTGTGGTGCATTTCCTGTGGATTCATGTACAGTTTCTTCTTAGGATGACTTCTGTCTTATTGAAGAGAAGTCAGAAGTCACCCTTCAGGATTGAAGGTAGCAAGAAATTTCTGTTTCTGTTTCTTAAAAGTTCTTTCTAAACTTGATAAAATATTAATAGAATTTATATAATAAGAATTCAACACAGTTCTTGATTGCAGAATTTATCCGTGAAGATTGCAGAGGAAGCTTTCTCCTTTACAGGTTTTGTCAGCAAACTGAGGTCTAATTTTAAGATAAAGCTTTAAGGCTTTAAGACTCACAGTAGCTAATGATTAATATAAACTGACATACCAAGAAAGCAATCATGATTGCATTTCTGTGTTACTGAATACCTTTAAAAGCTCTGGTCTCTGATTCATGGATAAGACACAGCATCCCTTTTACAGTTTGAGCTCACACTGACCTACCCTTGCACATAGTGCAGTGGCCTCTGGGCTCATGGGGACTTATCTGGCTTTGCTGGGGATAAGGAGATGTAGGACATTGAATAACTCATACTACTAGTTGATCAGGAATTGCTTCCATATAAGGACCAATCTGTCATTTAAGAGCAAACGGACAAGAAGGTGAGCTTGTAAGTCTAGCTTCTAGGCTAAAAAAATCAAACCTCAAGTACTTCAGAGAAATGCTGCTGCTTTGCTTTGCTTTCCTTAACCCAGTAATTATTTTTATTTTACTATAGTTTTTATATATGCGTGGGTTTTATTTATTTATTTATTTATTAAGCTTGGCTCCCTACACCTTCCACTGTTCATTAAAGGACAGAGTTGACTCTGAAGCCTGTTGGTGGATGTCCTGGGTGCTGACAGTGGGAGCAAATGTGGTATGAGGGGTCCCATGTACTACTCAGAGCAGCTTTGTGAGCTGGACAGGGCCTGGTCTTGTTCTACAGGTATGGAAAGCTCTCACACCACTTGGAGTGTATAAAACCAGTACAGCCGGGCAGGCAAGTGTTCAGAGAAGCCAGGCTTGCCTCTGCGTTTTTTTTCTTTACCAACGACTACTGAGAAAGGGAAAGAACCATGGGGAAGATACTGCTGGGTAGGTCTACTGGCCTGCTGAAAGGTGGCTGCTGACTAGCATTTCTCTGGTAACCTGTGCAGTGCTGGGTTAATACCTGCTTGCTTTGAATACAAAGATACAATTTGTTTGCTGCCTTTTTGGCCAGAACTGGCCTTATCAGCATGCTGGACTGTATCTTCATAGAAGACTAGTGCTTAAACCTACTAATGTTTCAAAGGTAGTTGTGTTAAGAAGAGGGTGTAGCTACGGGGAACAATGTGCTTGGCTTTGGATTTTCGTATTTGCATGGAATACTTTTAGCATGCTGGGAGAAAGATAAGTGCATAATACTAAAACATTCAAGGAAAGGTGGATTTGTTCAGTTTCCTTTTCCTACAGAACTAGATAGAGCCTGTGGTTCCAGCCTTTCTCATAACCTGTCAAGCCTCAACTATCTCCCACTTCAAAGAAGAGCTGTCCTCTTCCCTTTCTATCCCCTACAATGCTCCCTGCAAGTCCCAACCTCAGAATCTTTCTTTTGGAAATTCAAGAGAATAGGAATAATTTTTTTTAAGTCTTATGTGTTTTCCAAAAATAGTATTCTGTGCATCTGCAAAACAAATATATTGTGTCTACTTTGTTCCTCTTCTCCTTAGTGGCATCCCATATACATGGAAGACAGTGAGTTCTGACCAGTTCAGAATGGAAGAACTGTTATTGTTATTTCTACCAGTTTTTCTAGATTCTTTCCTGCAGCTTATTACTGCCATTTTTTTTTTTTTTTTTTTGTCAGGTGATACACAGAAATATTTGTTAACTTTCTGTACCACAGGCAGTTTGAGACTGTGGAGCTGGACATACCACGTTCTTTTTCATTGAAACACAAGCTCTAGTTAGATTCCAGTCCAGGACTAGCACTCAGTTCTTTAACAAAATGCCTCACGAGAAGATTCCTACTCACAAGTAAAAGTAAAACAAAACAGTCTTTGCTCTACTGGACTTTGTCCTCATTTCTTCAGGCAGGAATTCATGCCCTTGGTTCTGTAGTAATAAAAGTTACTTATTACTTAGTGGAGACTAAGTACATCTGCTTTTACAACTGTTCTGCTTAAAGCCAGTTTACACAGAGAGTGCCCACACAATACACAACAATAAACTAAAAGCCTAGAAAATTATCTGGGTTCATTTGGTCAAGTTCTACTGATTGTTCTTATGACTTTGAAACAAATTGATTTTCTCCTGCCTGTTTTCACCTCTGGACAGTTTGTCCAGTTGCAGTATGTGACAACTGTATGAAAAGCACATATGTCTGTAGAAATGATAGCTTGTGTGTCTACAGGAAAAATTATTCTCCAAATGCTAAGTATTTTCTATTTTTATTAGAAGTAGGTATTGGAAGCTAGAAGCAAATAGCAGTACAGAAATAACTTTAACATATGGATATAGTTTATATTAAATTAGGCATTCACTATGCAGGCTTGGTTATAGTCCTTTTTTCTTCTCCTGGACTAATTCACTTCTTGATAAATTCTGAGATGCTGATCCTGCCAAATCCTTGGACAAGATCAGTGGACCACCTTCATTTGGCACTCAAAAGCACATATGATGCTAGCTTTTTGTTTCATTTACAAATCTTCTTTTAAAGTTTTTGTTAATCTGGAACTTTGCTGTGCAAAATCAGCCAAATTTCTCCACAATGTATTTCTCTGGGTTTAGTCCATAGTACTCAATCCCTTTGAAAATTTTTTTCTTTTCCTGTTGAAATAGGAAGACACTCAGTCCTGAATTTAATTTTACTGGAAGTACAAGGAAAGGAGGGAAGGGTTTCATTTTGTTTTCACTCTGAAGTTTTTGCCTTCTGGGTTGAGATTGTACCGAGTCCATAGCAGTATTTAGGTTGTGGCTTTCATGTGTAGGCAGAGCAACAGCTGTGGCTTAGCACTGTTATAGTGAAACTTCTGAGATTGTGCAAACTCTGCTTTTCTGCACCCTTGTGTGCAAAGCGCCTGCTTCTGACATGGGCTTTAAAATTAGAAGGGAGGAGTCTGTCACCAAATTGCCTGTAGTTAGGAAAGAATTTAATGGTACAAACACAGCCCCTTTTTCTTTGGTTCAGAACAAGGTATGTGCAGAGGTGGGGAGACAGACCCTTAACCCGCATGCATAAGCAAACGTGCATGGAAGCAGCTTGCCAACACCGTATATAAGAGCTAGCATAAGCAAGGCAGTGTGAACTCTAATCTCTTCCATTGTGCACAGTGCAATGCCAAGGTGGTTACTCTATTCTTGTGTACAAATAACTGCTATCAAGCTATTTGTAAGCAAGTAAATAAGAACCTAAGCAATTTATCTTTTTCTTCTTGGCACAGTTCTATTATGATGATCTCTTAGCTGGCATATGTTGTAATGAAATGCTGTAATGATTCAGCATAGCTTTTCAGGGCTGTGTTGTGCATTCATCTTGCACTGCTGTTCCCTGCATGCTGCAGTAGCTCTTCTCCCGCGAGGGCCTGGCCATGTGAGGTTGTCTGCCTGACTCATAAACCCATGTCATATAGCAAGTTACAGATGCTCTTCATAAGATCTTGTTATTTTCCTTTAGCATTTGCTTGAGACAAGCATGCAAATGCTTCTGATCAAGAAAATTCCACTTATGACTGCAAAGTAGCTGCCATAAATTAAAAACTGGGAGAGGGAGAGAAAAAGGCAGAGGAATTAATGAAAAACACATTAGGGAAATGCTGCTTTTTTTGGAGATGTCAGGCACTCTCTTTTGTTTACCTGTGTTCTGGCATACTTTCTCTATGCTCAAGTTTTTGCTTTGTGATTAAACAAAATCTTAGCTTTTCCAGCAAACAGCAGATCTTTGAGGAATAAAGAACTGCCCCTTGCTTCCAATCCTTATGCTTCTTAATAAACATCAGGGGGGAAAGGATAGGAACAGGATTTTTATTTTCTATTTGTGCAAAACGTAGAAGTAGCTTCACTACCTGTAGTCATGAATAATGCAAGTGAGGAGTCCGAAATGGTCCTTTTTTTGCCCGTACTTGCACATTTTAATGCTGTCAGCACACTGGCTTCAGTAAATATACCATGATTTTGGATCAGTATTTCCAACAACAGAGGCAAGGCTATTTAAGAAGTCCTACATATTCCTCTCCTGAATTTTAAAGTTTGATTTTAGTGTTTAATTCAACCTTTACTCTTTTAAAATTACTTTTGACTTCTCTGTGCAGAATATCTGAGTAGCTTTAGTCCCCTTCCATGGGAGTAGGAAGCTGCCTCACCTGAGATCCTATATGAGCAAGTGCTGAAGTCAGTACATTTCACTTGATTCTGACGTGAGTGGAATTGGGCTGACTAAAGTTAGGGACACTTGTGAGATAGCATATCCCACCCCAAATTAAGTGCTCAAACTAAGCTCAAAAGACTTTATTATTCACATTGAGATACAGACCAGGTTTGCTTCTCATCTGGAATGAGAAGGCGGGTGTCCTTCCTTTTCACATGAGCTGAAATGACTTCAGTAATCTAGTCTGTGTCTCTCAGCCTTGAAGTCTCCTAACAACGTGTAGCCATGTTGATTTCTGCATTTAAGAAAATCTGCCTGAAGTTTTGGGCAGAGAGGATGTTATTTGGTGTTCTTTTAACTAACAAAATCTGGTCAGATACCACTGCTGGGTTATTTGTGTTCTGCTGTATTTGCCTTTGAAAAGTTAAACACCAGCATCTGATATCCTAAATGTTGCACTAAAAAGTGAAACGGAATGATTATGGCTGACATGAGGGAAAAGCAAGATGAATAGATTTCTATAGAAGAAAGAGAGAATTAAATTGTCCTTTGGAATGGCAATTTCTTTCTTGGTAAGCTTTTGAAAATGAATTGACAAAGCAGTAAATAGAAAGTAAGTTAATAACACTTACCTGAGTCACTATGTCCAGTCCCAGGCCTCTTGAATCTACAATAACTACTGTAAGAATGGTCTGAATCACCAGTGCAATGAAGTTGTTGAATCCAAACATCAAGGCATAGCGTTCCATGCTCAGATTGACTGCGATCTGGAACCTAATGCGAGACTGGCATGTTAGTTACTTCACACTGGGTGGAAAGCTGTTGCTCTCCATTTACTTGATGAGGAGAAATGGTTCAAGCAGATTATATATGGAGGATGGAGTAAATGGTGCTTCATTTGTTTGTAGAATATACTGAAATAGTTCAGGTGTGATCCACTATAATGTACTAAAAAGCACCAAAATGAAAATAGAGGATTTACTTGGTTTCATTCAAGATAGGCATAATCTTGTAATGCATTACAGTGTAGCAGTTTTTTTTTTTTTTTTCAAATGATGTCTGAATAATTTTGGGTTTTGACATATGTGTCTGGCATTTTTGTTACTAATATAGTATGGTACATCTAAAGATATTCCAATCAATAAAATAACTGGTGTAGTAAAAATGTGTTATAATTATTACACAGATTAAATATAATATTTGTTATTTTATTTTCCTATTTCTGACAACAGAATAGCTTGCTCTCCTGGGAGATCTTGTTTGAGTTTGTCTGATGTTCTCTTTTTATTCCTGCTTTACATCACAATATCATTAAAGATTATATGTGTAAAGCTATGTTGGGGAACACTGTGCCAAACCTTTTCTTGCATTCATGTAGTTCAAAGTATGCTAAAAAGTGCATCAGCAAGGTGGTTGAGATATTAGGGGATCTTAAAGGATGGCTGTCAAAGAATTCTTGTCTCTACTGATCATTTTGCATCTTTCATGCCAGAAAAGAGGAAAATGGTGTATATGTTTTGCTGTTACTATTGCCTTTATTAATGAAGATATGTTGCACCTTGTTTAATTTCTGCTTAGGAAAATGTTCAATGTCCTTTTGGTAGTTTTTCTTTCATGGGTGTTTAGAAGAACAAAACCTACATAACTAGACATTTAAGTGTCCTTGTGTTTACCTAAACAGTTATGTCTAGCATTAGATCAGCTACCTCTGAGTAAAAGAAGGGATGCCCAAAGCAAATTTAAAGCACGGTTAGTATTCTGTGTGTAATGGCAGCAGTGTAAGGTTTTATACTTACGTTGCTATTGTTATGAGGAGCATATAGCATGCTTTGAAAATGAGATAGCCAGCGTAACATGCCCAGATGTTGGTAGTAAAGTGCATGAGAAGCAGAGAAACAGCATCTATTGTAGAGAAGATCCCTAAAGCCAGTTCTCCGAAAAGGTCCCAATTAATTTTCACATATTGTACTATGAAAGATGCTACTGAGCCTAGAAAAAAGAGAAGAAAACATGTAAATAGTGTATCTGTTCTGTAGTCTGTATCACCAAATCTTGCCACTCATGTGCCAAAAGGAAATGCTGAATAATGAAGCAGAGTAGTTCTGAAGTGTTTTGAAAGCATTTCTAATCACTTCTGAAGTCATTCAGGTGACTGGTCATTTTTAGACAACTGCATAAATCAAGTCTTTGCCATTCCATTTATGTTTTATTCCACTTCACATGATAAACTGTTATGTAGAAGGATTCATTATTTAGCTGTCTGTACCCAGCATGTATCTCTAGGGAGAGAATTAGGAACATGGTTAGGAGCTCAAGAAGAACAATTCTTCCAGCTTGTACTTTATAACTAAGCTAGTAAACCACCTAGCTTAAGAGTTTAGCTCTGTGCAGCTCATAAAGATGCTAAGCTGCCAAAAAAAGGGAGTTTTGTGAAATATCAAGTGAGTCTATTTGGGAAACTGAGACAGGATAGGCACTGTTTGCTTTTGGCGGGCGTGCTACAAAGATGCATCTCTTGCGAAGGTAAGCCCCCTGATTGTCCATCTTAGGAGTCTCATGCAATTTTAAAACTTCTACACATCTTGATTGAGAAATGAATGATTCCATGAGAGGGAGGAGTTCAGCAAGGAGTAGACACTTCAGAAGTTAAGTGCTTCTAATTCATGATTCAGCTGGTCTATCCTGTTGTCTACTTCAAGACAAGAGTAATTTTTAATCTTAGAAGTATCTGCTTCTCCTTGATTGGAGTCTATAAGGGTACTGGGGAGGGACTCTTCGTTAGGGACTGTAGTGGTAGGACAAGGGGTAATGGGTTCAAACTCAAATAGGGGAAGTTTAGATTAGATATAAGGAAGAAGTTCTTCACGGTGAGGGTGGTGAGGCACTGGAATGGGTTGCCCAAGGAAGTTGTGAATGCTCCAACCCTGGCGGTGTTCAAGGCCAGGCTGGACAGAGCCTTGGGTGACATAGTTTAGTGTGTGCTGTCCCGGCTCATGGCAGGGGGGGGATGATCTTCAGGTCCTTTCCAACCCTAACTATTCTACGACTGTAATGATGAGGTATGATATAGATGTATTTGTTTGTTTTTTTTCTCTGGTGGATCACACCCCAATGTCTTGTGCGAGTTCTTTACAGCAGCACAACATGAGTATGAGAAATACTGCCAAGTCAGGGTGGTATATTCTGATGTTGCCTTTTGCTCACATCACTTTGCTTATGTGGTGTGGGCATCTGCTTCCAGTGCAAATCTGTAATGATTAATGTCAGGAGCATAATGAATTCATTAAGTTATTTTTCTGCAAATCTCTGTATTTTGGAATGACTAAAATTCTTTTTTTGGTCCTGTTGCACAAGAGTAACTAGAAAAAGAACTTATTGAAAGGATTATGTTGTTTTTTCTGGAAAAAAAACCCAAACCCTTCTCATCTGTAAAAATTGGTACCGTTGTTATGAGAGCTGTGTGATGCTTGTTTGGGGGCAAAGAATCATCCAACAACCTCTTCCAAAGAAACATGGGTGCCTCTGAGTGGATTTAGCACCTGGATGTTAAGCCTATGTGACTTGTGCACCCTCTGCATACTGATAGAATTAAGTTGGATATCCCAGTCCTAAAAAAGAAAAAAGCAAAACCAAACAAGCATAGCTTGCATTTGAACTGTTCTGAACCTCAAAGAGCTAAGTCTTGAATGCACAGTGCAAACACTGGCTTAAAGTATATTTGAGGGAGGAATATGAAAGG